CATTATTTGTTTGTTAAACTCCACAGAGGTGTTTAAGACGTTAATTTTTCTAAAATGCAGTTATGGAATAGAAAAATGAACATTTTACTGCTATCAGAAACTATGAATTACATTCAATTAAAAATGTACAACTCTCAATTTTTCGTGAAATCCAGGAATTTCCGGTTGTAAATTTGAGGGGGAAATAAGGTTTCACTGGAGATTCAGTTGAATATTAGAATTCCTTCATTTATAAAAATTTCTTATCTAATGTTAGAATTCAGTAAAATCTCGAAATTCATGATTTTCCGCACTAAATCGTGGTCAGTAAAATTGACAGATTTGTTTCATCCCACCCAGAACGTCACTCATATTTGAAATATATATCAACTGTATGCGCATATATATCAACCACTAATGCAGTATGTCACATATATTTGACATATTTGACACATGACTATTCACATATATATTTTTTCGCGAGGGATATTGATCCCGAAAATCCTGAGTCCCCAGTCATGTTCATGTCCATGTCCACGTCCTGAAATTTCAGTAGAATATCAAGAGAATAAAAATAAGCGGAATTTGACAGGGAAAATGAAGAGAAAAATATTTACCATTGTATATATTTTCTCTGACCGCACGCGTCGGAGAGACATCTTGACATGGACTTGCGGTTATGACAGCCGAACAAACGGAGTGTTTTCATCGCGCTTCAATTGTACCCGGGAATATTGGCGAGTCATGTCCTTTAATTGACGGACTCCCGAAGCGAGAAATTGTTGTACTGCACGTTATCTTCGGACTCCATATAAAACCCATTGGTGGAGACTTCTTCGGGTTCGCAATTGCCAGTTGTTTTTTTTTTTTTGTCGAGGCGAGTGAATATCCGCAGGTGTTGAACGTCTCGAATTGGTGCTGGGGGACAGTGTAAAAAAGAAATCGTCGTTAAACTTTGGGTTACCGTTTTCCTGCAGTTCTACCCGGGGGAAGGCACTCTGATCACAATTAAGATAGAAGCTTCCGTGCGAGAGGCGGTGATAAGCCCACCACAAAACTACCACAGGCCACCACCACCCAAGGGTCCACCTTGAGGAATGTCTTGATGTGCCTCTCTCGTGACCGATCATTAACGCGAATATTTTCGAGTCACTTATACCCAGAAATCCCGGCCCCTATTTTTTCTACAACCCATTCGCTGCTATAGAGATCTCGTTAGTTATGAATTTTTGGAATAATCAGAATTTCGCAGGGGAGACGAAAAAATGTGCGTGAATTTTATACTAGAATTTTGGATAATTTGAAACTGCCATTTCATACATTCCTTTTTTAATGAGATATCGATGAAATATCGATTTTTAAACGACTTTATTGACTACAATTAAGAAATTAAACCATATCGATTTTGAAGTACAAAATTTAATTGATTGAAATTGAGATACACTGTGAAATTCTGGGGGAATTCATTGGAATTTCAATAAAAGTTTCAGAACAAATTTAGACGACAGTACCGCGATTTTTGCAAAATATTTATACAAAAAAAGAGAAACATCCGAAAAAATGAATAATTATCTTAAAATACTTGGTAAAAATCACAGAAAAATGAAAGAAGATATTTCCCTAGTAAAAAGCATAATTTGGACATAATTTGGTATCCCAGAAAATTTGAGCAGTTGCAGAAGGTAACGCCCACGATAGAACCGATCCCCTGAATAAACCCTGAATAAAGGGAGAAAAATACGGGGTATATCTAAACCAGCGGCGAGTAAAAAGTGGATTTATCCCGAATGGGTACATATATTTAGAGAGAAGACATTATCACAAATGAGTGTGTGATACTTTTACGATACAATTTGTTATCATAAAAGTGTCACGTATCTCTCAGGCAAAGGCCCCAGCCCTCTCGTTGAATGGAGGGAAAAAGCGGGGATAAAAAGGCCCAACGGTCGACAGAGTGAAGGCAGAACACTAGCATTTATCGAGAGAGGAAAAGGGCGGAGTGAGAATCGTAAAAGGCCAGTGGCATATTCACGAAAATGACCATGCAGAACTCCTTTGTGATTAAGAGGGTAACGTCTCGACGACGATCGTAACGCCACCACTAAAGAGCCCGTACCTGTCCACACACTTACCCAGGGTAATACCTGAAAACATGTCTCTATCGCGAGCGAGAATCTTCGCATAACCGCCTTCGCATAAAACCGACGTTTTATCCGTACGGTGCGACTCAGACGTCTTTACGACTATCTTCGGTGGATTTTCTCGTTTGCTAGGAAGAATTTTGAATTGACCGCCCCCGGCCCACCTCATTGTTGTTCTTTCTTTTTTTCGTTAACACTCTTCGAATTTTGGTTGATTCCCAGCAACGACTGCCACTGGACCCGCGCTGACGCGGCATTTCTTTCAATTTAAGGATTGAATCCATGATTTTCCCGCTGAGTGATTACCCATCTTTCGAGAACGCCCTCAATTTTATATTTCACCGGGAAAATTGGATATCTAATTGTGGGAAGCTTCTTAGCTTGAGAAATCGCAAAAATAATCTCATTCTTTTGTTAAAAGTGTCCAAGAGTAGAAATTCATTTCATGGACATTTAAAATTGCGAAAACGCCGTTTTTCACTCGAAAAATCTGATTACTGGACGTGAATTGTATTATTGTTCTTGACAGAGTATTAATTGATTATATTAATTATTAGTTATTTGATTATTGAATCGATGTAAATTTTCGGGAATTGATTGAAAAA